ACAAGTTTATTGTTGACATCAAGACAGAAAAGGATTATTGTCTTGCCAACCCTTCCGAGTGATCTGCATCTAAATTTTTTCTAATCCTAACATACTTAGTTTTTTTTTTACCTCTGGCAAGATAAACCTTTGTCTTCATCCAGCATGTTCCCGTTTTCAGTTGCTTTAAACCTTTAAATGATGTAAAGGTTCATACAAGCTGTCGACATGTTTTAGCCATTATATATTTTCTGACTTATGGGAAAAACCTCCTCATTTAAAGGGAATTTTTTTCTTGTATTTCCCATTTTAAAGAGTTGAAAGAATTGTCTGTATATCTCAAGATTAATCATATCCTGGAGCGGCATTATAATTAATTAAATTCAATTAAATCTACTTTGCTCTTAAGTACAAAAGTAAAATATTTGTATTTTAAATGATAGGAAATCCCTTTTAAAAATGCTATTCTTAAAAAAAAAAAAAAAAAAAAAAACAGTTCTGTTAAAGAAAATGGGTAAATTTTCCTCTTTTGCCAATTGTTTTGGTAGAGAGAACAAAAAGTTTCTTACTCAATCTAGTTTTGTTCTAAATAAAAATTTCATACAGGATAACATAGATTGTACTGAACAAACTTTCTGGGTGAGCAGATTAATACTTTTAGAGTTTTGGTTTTCACAACCTTAGAGTTACAAAAAAGAACGCAAAAAAAATAATGTGAAACGAAATCAGCATGTATATTCAAAATCTAATCAGGGGGAATAGATAGGAAACGTCTTTCCTCTCAGAATCTGATCCACTATCTGTAATGTTTCCCAGCCCCTGTCTCTATTCATGCCAGTAACTGTTGAATACTAGAGGTTTTTAAAAAGAACAAAGCATTTGGCAATAAGATGTTTTTTTTAGTTTTCTTTTTTAGGAAAAATGGGACATTAGTTTACTAAAAGTATTTAATTTCTTCAACGAAGGACAAAACTGTCTTAAAACCTCTCAAATAGTTTTTTTTTCAACAGCTATCCTAGCTCTCTTTCAACTTTATCTGCTTTTTCATCATAATACTCATTGTACCAGATCATAAAATCATATAATGGGGTTATTTGTCAAAGTACACTTAAAGCAGAAGCACAAATTAAGATATAGCAGACCTAAAAAACGTATATCTTGGAGTTTATCACCATCTTACAGTTACATCTCAAAGTAATACAGCAAAAACCTGCAGGACGTGAGATATCCATCATCCTTCAGCTACCGGGTTTCAAACTGTCGGTCTTTAGGAAACATGTTAGTGGTGCTAAAGTAATGGTCTATACGTCAAATTGTGTTACATCTGACATTTGTCACAGCTTCACCTAAAGGAAATATGTAGTGTTATTATTTTGTTTGTAATGGAGCCAAATGCAGAGCTTGACTTGATGTAAAAAAAAAACTGAAAATA